TGAATAGCTTCATTGTGGTTTTCTCTTTCCCTTCTAGAAAGTTCTCTTTTGCACAAAGAGATAAAATTCTTCTCTAATTCTTCTTTTAGACTATTTTTTTTTTTTTGGTTTTTCAAGACAGGGTTTCTCTGCGTAGTTTTGCGCCTTTCCTGGAGCTCACTTGGTAGCCCAGGCTGGCCTCGAACTCACAGCGATCCGCCTGGCTCTGCCTCCCGAGTGCTGGGATTAAAGGCGTGCGCCACCACCGCCCGGCTATAAGTGTGTTTTTCTATCTAGAAAGCCAGCCATGATTTTATGATCAGGCTTAGGAACTTCATTTTGTTGTCAGCGTGCAAGGAATTTTCCTTAATTATATTTTTTAAGTATTCATTTCTTGTATAGAAGAAAGTAATTGAGTTTTGTATATCCACTATTATTTTGGCTACTGTTCCTTTACCAATTTCAAAATAGCTTCTCTTGGATATCTGTGGGAGATTGAGTCTCCCAGGACACCACAGAGATGATGAGTACTGTTAAGGGGTTCTGATGGTATTTTTTTCTGCTATCTCTTCCCAAACTGGTCTTAAACCAAGAGAAAGTTTATAAATACTGCTCCAGAAAGAAGTGAATGGCTTGCTGACATGTTCTTTTGTGGAATGAAAGCATACACATAACATGAAAGGTAGAAGCAGAGTAGGAAAATTTTCTTTTGTAACAGTTCCTCTCTATTCCTGGACACATCAGGGAAAAGAGAATATGGGTAGAAAATTATTGAAAGAAATCCAATATACACTCTCATGCTTAAAATATTCATATCATTTCTCCTAACTTCTGTATAAGTGTTTAAGTTAGAAACATAGCAATTGTGCTTATATGCACACATATAAACATGTCATCATCCTAGGTGCAAATGTCTTTTTCAATACCGATGCTCTTTTATCTACCTCACAATAAACTCCTCCTAAGCAGAAAATATTTTTTCCCAGCATGGATAATTGGGCTAGTGCAGTTTAAATGGTTTTTGTTCTTTTCTTAAACCAAAATAAATGAATCAGATGGGTCCTGTGAAGGCCAAAGTGAAGGCTGAGGGTTGGCTGACTATCAGCCTCCTGAAGCCTTACCTATCTTCTCTAGAGTCTCTGACTTGTTTTGGCAGAGCAAAGAATATAGCAGGTGTCCACTGCATCCAAGAGAAAAACAGTAACAGGAAGTGGAATAATGTGAAAATTCCTTAACTGCACCTCATCTGGGCTGGGGATAGAAACTAAAGGCCTGCTTCCAGCCCCACCACACATACACAAACACACTGCTGTTGACCGGAGACCGTCTATAGCTCTATTGCTTTTGTTTTTACATCTTCATGCCTGCTCAAGAGCATCTGAAATAGAAAACATTTCTGCCCTCTTCATTTCATAAAGAACACCTTTAGTGTTTCATTATAAATGATAGTTCTCACTTGAAAATATGGTCATGTAAAGAATAAATGATCCTTTTAGTAATTAAAAACACTTCATTTTAAAAAATATTCACATTGAATCCAATCAAATATTGCTTTTATGCTCACTTTTTGTTGCACTTATAGAATTATCTGAATTGCCAGGTGGCAACTAGGCTGGTTATTTTCTTAGTCTAATTTCCAGTATTCTAAAGACACAGCGGTTGGCTGAAATGTATTCTTTTCAGCTCTACTACTCAGTTTTGTTTGACAATATGATAGGATAGAGTGCTAAGAGGATAATGCAATACTTACTATCTACCTAACAGTGCTTTTCCAGTTTCTTCTACCTATATACAGTATTTCTGGCATGTGAACTATGCAGGTCTGATGTGGTGGACAAATACCTATCCTTCAACTGCCTTTCATATCGGTCAGAAGAACTGAGTCTCAGAATATAAGCAGATATTTACAGAGCTGATGTAAATGAAGACTTTACTGTCATGTTTAGTAATGAAGGAGAAAACTATAAATTTTATAGATGTACATCTTGGCCAAATGGCAGGAGGTGAGGAAATGACAGATGTCTTCCTACTGTTCCCTAGGCTTCAAGGAATTGACACCCACATCCATTTTTTGATACAGGATCTAATTGTGTAGGCTTGGCTGGGCTGGAACTTCCTGTGTGGCCCAGGTTTACCTTGAACTCACAGATCTATCTGCCTCTGCCTCCTACTGCTGGGATTATAGCCACGAGCCATCATTGGTGGCCAATTTTGATTTTCAACTGTACACTGAATGTAGAGTAGGCAGAAGCATCTCCTGAGTTGCACTTAGTATGAATTCTTGTAGAAGTTGGCAGAATAAATCTGCCAATTCAGTAATAATTTAACACAAGCTACAGAGTAGTATTCACTGTTCATCAAATAGGCTATTGTCTTAATGAGAAAAAAGATGTTTTGAATTTATAAAAATTTATAGCAACCTTTAGAACTTAATCCTTTGGCTAATCAAAAACTGCTTAAATTTTGTAAACTTCACTGGATATAAAATTGATAAATTAAAACTATTAATCATACATATAAACTTTAAATTTTTGTTTTTATTAGCTCTGATATTTACAAAGCTCTTGTCATGATTAGCATTTATCTCAGTCCATAAAATCCAGGAATATTCTGACACTATGCTTATTTTAATCACCCACCCAACTAACAATGTGCTCCTATAAAATGCCACAAAGACTTAAGCACTGGGAGTGGTAGCCTAAGACTGCAATCCTTGAAACTTTCGAGACTGAAAGCTGGATAATTAGCATTGGTTTGAAATCAGTCGGGGCTACACAGTGAGTTCCAGCCTAGGTGACAGTGTAAGTTCTTATCTTAACTGAAATAAAAAGAAATGAAAAACAAAACAACAAAGAGGGAAAGTAGCCAACCATCTAAACTTTTCTTCCAGAAGTCAGATACTTATTTCACTGGGCTTTACTTTTTTATATACTGAAAAATTCTTTTTCATGTCCAGTTATGATAAATGTATGAGCTTATCTAATCATCCTAACAATAGTTATCTATTTCCTCAACTCCTTGACTATATCTCTTACTTAGTTTTCTACTTATTGAGCTACAGATCTATAAAAGATACTCAGATAAACATGCCCATCAAGTTGATAAAAATTTGGACCTTATACTCAGGAGAATCTTGCCTGAAGTTAAATATTTGAGAACTTTTGTCTATATACTTTACTGCTAAAGTAGTAGGAAACTGCCCCAAGTACAAGCAAAATTATGGCAGCTGATGATGAAATCCAGGGATATAAAAAGTTGAATGGCGAATGGGAGAAGATTAGTGTAACATTAGGAAAGGCAGGAGAGTGGTAGTGTAGAAGCTATAAAAGAGGCACATCCAAGAAGTGATAGTGGCCAGTGGCAGCAAAGCACAAAGCAACACTGGGTTAACACAAGAAACGAAGAATATGTTAGTGAGCAGAAGTTATCCAGAGTCCATGTTTACTACTCTGTACTTCCACAGGAAACAGGAAGAAAGAGTTAGAATAGTGGCTCATGTCAACTCAAGAAAGGAAGAACAAGAATATTGTTACCAGTTAAGAAACACAACTTGTTGAGTAAGACTACTGCAACTACAGAACATACAAAACAGATTACACAAAAAGTGAAATATAAACCTTGAGGTAGAGATATTTAATATTAAAAATAACCCAGAGTTCCCTGGAATTTATTCAAGTGAGATACAGTCTTATATCCACAGAAAATCCTGAATACAAATGTTTATATTAGTTTTATTCATAAAAATTGTCAAAACATGGAAGCAACCAAGATGTTTTGCAACAGGTGAGTGCATAAACTGTAGCAAATCCATACAATTCATTTTTACTCAGTAATGAAAATAAGTGAGCTGTGGCATCTTGTTAAGCCATGGGGAAAAACTCAAGATGCACAGTTGAGTGAAGAAATCAACAGGAAAAGTTACATGCTGTGGTGTTCTTAATTACGTGACATTCTGGAAATGTTAAAAACTATGGAGACAAAAACAAATAAATAAGTGGTTTCCTAAGGTTCTAGGATGAGAAGGTGGAAATGTACATTTATTACTTTTTACATTGCTATAATTAAATGGCTGACAAGAAGTAACCTAAGGAAGGAAAGATTTATTTCGGCTAATTGTTTCAGGGTACAGACCATGGCAGCAAGAACAGCTTACAGTCGAATCAGCAGAGGCATGAGGCTGCTTATGTCACAGTGCAGCAGTAAAGGGAAAATGAAGGCAAGCAAGTGTGTGACCTTTAGACAGAAGCAGGGTTTGCACTGTAAATTCCTAAGGTCTGATCCCTGGAAACTCACTTCTTCCCACATGTCCCACCATCGAAAGTTTTCACAGCTCCCCCAAAACAGTGCTACTACCAGTGAGAAATACACAAGCCTGTGGAGAACATTCAAAAGAATGTAACAGATGAATAAAGAAAATTTGAGGACACTGAAACTATTCTGATGGATATGTCCTTAGACAGTTGTCAAATTCATGGAAGGTATGAGACAAAGAGACAGCTCTAATGTGAACTATGAATTAGAGATAATGTACCAAGAGAGGCTCATCAATTGTAACAAAGGTATCAAACTAGTGTAAGAGGTCAGTAATAGAGAAATTGTGTGAGTGAGGGAGTAAATGGCAACTCTAATTTCCATCCAACCATTCTCTAATTCTCAAACTGCCATTAAAATAATGTAAGCAGAAAGGACTAGGTAGAGAAGGAATTAGAAGTAGTTTACACATATTGGTTTTGCACATATTTAACACAGTCTAGATAAAGAATCCATTATCATGGCATGTCTCTTAATTAAGTAGTCTTTTGATGCAAATGCCCAAGTGGCAAGTGAACTAGTACCTGCTGATATAAGAAAGTTAGAGATTAACTTGGAAATGCCTCATTTTCTTCCTTAATTTGCCAAGTTTCATGAAATATGAATCATTCTTCAACCTATTGTTTCATTACAAATTGTGGAATATAAGTCGAACTGCTATACTTAATTTTGATAAATATGATTTTCCTAAAATATTTAGAAAAAATGTATTCTTTAATATATGAACCTGTTTCTATAAACTGTAAAACATCATAAAGACAATCCTTGAATTTATGTAAAATTATAGGGATCCAAGTAGTAGTATGCATTTTTAAATATACTCCAACTTTTCAAATTCTGTTATTTAAAATTATATCAATCACATACACACACACAAAAAGAAAATTTCCCAGTTTTGGTACGTTTCACTGTTTGTGTGAAAATTCAAAAAGCTTGGTAAAAAACAGTGGTTTTAGAGCAAGTATATGTCTAACGTCTATTAAAGATACCAGCAAGATCCATGCAATTATTGATACTAAAACACTATATTTTTCTGACATTTTCACTGATGGTACAAAAGTACAATGGGTAAAATGGCTGCCCTTCACAAAAAGCACAGCACTAGCACCAGACAACAACTGTGGCAGTCACCACAGTGAAGTACGATGATAAAAACTATCCTTTTACTTAGGAATACCCTTGATGAAATAGTAAAAATAATTACTGCCATTAATCTTTAATTTAACAAACAAGTCTTTTAGTACTCTATAAAATGAACTTATACTGCATGCCAAAATAGAATGGTGGTTCTGAGGAAAAATTACTCATGCAACTGTTATAACTGGACAAAGCTTCATCTGTCATGAAACAACTATTTTCACTTGAAAGAAAAGTGACAAAGTGGATATCCAATTAATATCTGTCAAATGTTTTCTCAAGAAAGAACAATGTGCCTGTCACTTTAAGTAGAATTTACTGTGTTTGTTGCCAATAAGTCAAATATTTAAGTAAAAATCACAATTCTGAAAAACTTGTATGCAGTTAACTGTGCAGATGACAGCTTTTCAATATTAAAGGAATAATCTGATGAAACCATGATATCAACAGATATTAGTAAAAAAAACATGGTGATATATGTGAAGATATGGAGTATCTATATGACACAGCAAACTACTATATTCCAAATGACCAATGTCTTACTATAAAATCATGCATGAGTAAAATAGCCAACAAAATACAAAATTGCCAATGGTTTGTAATATTAGTATTAGAAGTTCATTTAAATGGTTTCAGTTTCCACATTAAAACTAACCTTTAGGAAAGTATCACCTGTCAGATTTTTATGTATTAACATTATCTGATGAGAATAGCCCAATTATTTTGGAAATTGTACGAAAATATTCTTCCTTTTTCCAGCTACATATCAGTGTGAGGCAAACTGTTTCATGCACTTCAACAAAAGCCTTCTAGTAAGATCACGTTGAAGACATCTAATGGGGCAGAAGAGGTGGCTAAGTGGTTAATAGTGCTTACTGCTCCTGCAGAGGACTGGGTCCGGTTCCCAGTACCCACATTGGGTTTATAACTGCCTTTAACTCCAGTTCCAGGGAATCCAATGCCCTCTTGCTGCTGTGGGCACCTGCATGCATGCATATTGTGCACATAAACTCACACAGGTACACATACATACAAATAAATTTAAAAATATATCTTCAAAATGATTCAAAGAACACAGAACAATGTCAGTCTCCTTTTTTTGGAAAACAGTTATTTTCTATAAAATATTTTTGTCAATATAATAAGTTTTCTAATGTTATTTTAATTAATAAATGTGTTTTCAATTATATTTACAGTGGTAAATACTGACAAAGTTAGCCTGATGAAAATAAACGCTTGTTTGCTGGGGTCCATAGTATTTTAAAGAAAATGAATTCCTGAAACCACTGGAATAAATTTATTGTCAAATTTAAAATACCTGAACATAAAACCATAGTTCTTAACCAATAATTTAGAAGATGATATTGATAGGCTTTGATGCTTTATATAATGATTTGAACAAGACACAAACCACTGTATTCACATTTAACTTACAAATAGAATTCTGTTTTACTAATTTCAGTTGTGATGTAGTCAAATTTTCTCCTTGTTGATTTTTATTGTCTTCATCACCTTCCTCATCTTGCACTACAAAATCATCAATCATATAATCATTTCCATTTTCGTCAGATTTGTAGTCATCCTCATCCTCATCTTCATCAGTACTTGAACAAGATTCCTTTTCAGAGTCCTAATTAAATGAAAATAAATGCTTGAGTAAATATTATGTCTTAAGAAAAGCCAGTATGGCTATAAAGTTAAATCAGGAGGCAAAAAATGGATCCACATAATTAAGCACATATTTTAAAACTAAATATTGAACTTTTAAAATTGAAGAAGTATACACTTTGGTTATGTGATGTAAAATGTTTAAAATAAACATTAAGAATATGAACAATTAAGAATGGGAAAGACAGAACAACCGTCTTTCAGTGTTTTTAAAAGAGAGAGTGAGGCTCACAATAAATTATTATTAAATACAATAATACAACAGTCAGGGATGCTTATTTAAATATTCTAACTTATTGGAAATAGAATAGATTCAGTACTTTAATATTTATAAAAACTACGTTCAAGTAAAAATTTAATCACAATAAACCAACAAAATAAAACACACCTCAAAATTTCTACCACTATTGCGTCTCTGTCTCTGGCGCGATTTTTCTGAGAGTTCCTTTAGCTTCTGGTGGTGTTCTCGCTTTCGAGCAATTACTGATTTTTCAGGGGTTTCTTGTTCCATTTCCAGTGAAGAACACTCCTCCTCAACCACCCTGCGTGGACGTTTACCACCTACTTTTCTAACTAGAATATCACTGTCATCGCTGTCATCACTGTCATACATTACAGAAGACAGCCTTTTTCTTTTTCCTGGCTTGATGTCTTCATCTTCCACATCTTCCTCTGTGATTTGTTTGGTGTGCTTGTTGACATCCTCCTCCTCTTGACCTGGGTGATTTTCATCATCTGGCAAGTCATTATGTTTGGTTTTGTTCATTTTTTCTTCATCTGTTGAACTATTGCCAGGGTTCATAAGAAGTTTACTGTTGCTTCCCTCACTTTCGACTTGGGTTAATTTAAGCTCTGTTTCTTTTTCTGGTATTTCATTAATACCAGGCTTCTTGCTACTATCAAGCTCTTCATCACTATCAATACTTTCACCACTATCAAGCTCTTCATCAGTACCCAGTTCAAGTTCCTCATCACTATCAAACTCTTCATCACTATCATATAACTGTGAGATACTTCTTTTAGTCCGACGCCAATCAACTCGAGATTTTTGCTCAGGTACTTGGGTTTTAGAATTTTTCCTTGTTTCGTGTACCATTGTCACTTAAGCTTCTACAAAATAAAGTTATTAGGAACATAACAATGAATACATAGCACACATTAATTTGGCTGCATTAAACGGTTCACAAGGCCAAATCATGAGATAGTTGAGTAAAAAAAAAAAATCACAGAATAGTCAATGTATAAATAATCCATTGAACAACCATTACTTTTTGAGCACATATTTTTAATTATGCTATATGTTGTGCTGAAAAGAATACACAGAAAAATCATGGTCCTGTGTCCTTTACAAAAACTTTATAAAACTCAAACATGCAAACATAGTTAAGAAAAATTCAAGGTGATCAGTATTGATGAGTAATAAAAATACATGTGATAGAAATGTCACGATGTAGAAAGATTAGTAAGGCAATTAGTTCACCAAAGACCATCACGAACAGATTTGATTAGGCACAATTTTCAAGAACTGGTTAGATTTGAAAAAAAATAATGAAAAAGTAATTTCAGATAAGTAAATATATTATGGGCAAAACTCTGGCACTGATGAAGAATATGTTATACTTAGTAAATAAGTGTTACTAAAAAGGGATACATAGCTTCTGGCAGGAAAAAAAGGAGACAAGAAGAGAAAACAACAATAGAATTCCAGAGAGAGGGATGGGAGATGGCTTAGTGGGTAAATTGCTTGGAATGAAGCATGAGGACCTGGGGTGGGATCCTCATCACCCACATTAAAAACTGGTTGGTACAGTGCACACCAAACCCAGCACTGGATGTGGAACAGAGACAGATGAATCTCAGGGGTGGCTCCTTGGCCTGTTAGTCCAACTGAAATGACAAGTTCTAGGTTTAGTGAGAAATCTTGTTTCAAATAATAATAATGATAATGATCGATGATGATGATGAGAATACTCAAGTAAGATATCTCTACATCCATCCCTGGTGTCCACATATACTTGCATCAGAGAGCAAACTCACATAAATTGCATATATGTGTTCAACACACACACACTGAATTACAAAGATGATACATCCTCAGGCAAAGAAGGATTTGATTTGGAACAGAAATAACATGAAATTTAAAGGCTCAATCAAGTTACACGAACAAAGTTACAATGTAGTAATTGATAGATAAAAGAGATGACAATACAATGCAGAGAGAGAACCTATCTGCTAAGACTGTAGCCTCTATATTTCTTTGTGAAGTGGAAATGGAGTTATACTATATTTAAAAAACACAAAATAAATCCAATAATGTGGTCAAATAAAAAAAGTAAGAAAAGTTTCATGGCAAATCAGAGTATAGTACAAGGGAAAAAATCAAAGCTGTCAGTTTGTGATTTTATAAAGTATATTTCATTAAATTTATCACAAGCATGTATTAAATACTGACAGGTAAGATAAATAGAAATTCAATAAGACATATGTACTTCTGTGGTTGCCAAGGAATAGAAGTAGAATCATAAGGTAATATGACCACATAGTACATGTGTAAGAACTTATGAAAATTGTTATAACAATATTCTATAATAGCATACAATATTTCTGGTCTTTCTACATATAATAGTACCAAGGGATAAAACAAAAATAGAACCTTAAAACAAAAATAATCCAAAATTATGAAAATAATCACACTGCTTACATTTGATATTCCAAATATTAGCTTCAAACATCTACTTCATTTGTCTCACTTCTAAGGGATTGTTAGAAACTTAAAGAAAGAAATCTTTATAAAATAAAGAAATCTTTATAAAATAACTATCATTGAAAAATATTAAAAAAATGTGTAAGTAACTATAAAGGTAGTATCAAAATTACAAAGCCAAAATAATTTTAAGCAATGTTGTCATTACAGGACCAAATTTATAGCATTCCAATTACTTGGAAGAGAAAAGAATATATTAATTGTACTAATTCTGGTATGGTTATAAGGCAGTATGCCTCCCTATACTGGTAACTTCTCATATAAAATCAGAACAACAGAAATTATAAGATTATACACCAAAAATACCTGTATAGTATAGGCTGAAGTGTAATTTTTTGATAGTATCTGCTACAGGATATAATTAATGTAACAATAATAGTAACAAATACCACTTAATAAACCAAATGGTCTATTTGAATTACAGTTGGTTATAATCTACATAAGTGTTATATTAAAGCCAACAAAGATTAAAAAACAATAAAGATATGTACTGAAAATTACCTTTAAAAAAATCCCTAGATTATTATTCAAAGCATACCTTTTGCATGCTCCACTGCTTTACATAATTTCTTCAATAGTTTTGAAAAGACTTTTTGTTAAACATTAGAATAACTAGGCAGTTTATGTTTTGAAGTCATAGTAAAGGATTTGTAAGCACATATAAATTTTCATAAGCCAATTTTGCATATGTGCATTACACAATCATAAAGCTTTCTAGGAAACTTGTTTGAATTGGGATAAATAATGAAAGACACTTCAATAAAAAGACAAACATGGTTTCAATAGATACATGAAAGTAAATATGGACAGTAAGAAATGTTAAAGTGAAAGATGATTTTATTTTAGTACACAAAGCAGATTCACATACACCAGATTGCTCTTATGAAACTACAACATACTCAAAGGACATTTATCTTACAATGGGTAATTTCTAGCACAATAGTAGAAATGATTAAGACTATCACACTATTAAAAAGACATATGACTGTACATAATGAAGGTATAAAAGAAATCACCTGTATTTAAAATTGAACAGTATACTTTCATCTTTATTTTTAAATCCTGAAAATGATCTTCCAAAGAAGGTACTATTTATCTTCATATACAAATATTAAAGTCATGTACATAGAGTTTAAATGACTTACCAAAGATCACAGAACTTGCTAGTGACAGAGCAGTGTTAGAAGCCAGGCCTCCTGATCCCCGTCCAGTGCTACACAATGACTGCTGGTAATATCATGTGTGTCCACACAGTAAAAAATTAACACTTTAAAGTAATATTATTTCTTATTCATGCTAAATTTTACTTTCAGAAAACAACCATCAAAATGATGAGTTAACAAACATGCTTTTCTAAAAATATGTAACTGAATTTAAGTGCACATGGTGGGTTAATTCAAAAATTTTTGAAAATTATCCATTAGGTAAGAGAAAAAATGCAAGAGATGGAAAGCTGCAGATTTCCCTCTACCATTTTATTGATGACATCAACCACAAAATTTAAGGGAATCCTTGGTAAAGTCCAAAGCAAAAATTTCTATGGAAAAATGAAGACTTTGACCTTTTCAGAAGGTATATTTTATTTAAGTTTCATTTGGCAAACTGCACATTTGCCAGGGTTTGTCTTACTTCAAAATTGTCATTTCTATCAATAAGGTAAAATAAACCTGTTATCAAAAGGGAGATTTTTGAATGTGGTTAGTTCTTCTTTTTGAATTATGAATAGCTTTACTAAATTATCTGGGGAGGAAAGAATGTCAGAGGAAAAAGGTGAGTGATCTAGGGGAGAAAAATGAGAAAACGAAGCCAAGTTCATAGGTAAGACATCTCCATGTTTAGAATTCACCTGCAAAAGAATCTATGCAAATGGGTTTAAGTTTTGTTTATGCTGAATTAAAAAAAAATCAGATGAGAATTTTATCAAGTTATTTCTTACCTTCAGGCTAAGAAAAAAACAAAGACTCCACCAGAAATCACCAAATAAGTGAATGAAGGTCAATACTATCATGTGTTTCATGGTTATCATGTAAGATGCACATATTAACTTTGATGTCTGTCTGCCAAAGGATGTGACTTAAAGATAATTCAGATTTGAATGTGTTCTTTCTCTCAAAGTAACTTTATAGGTAAAGGAAGGTACTGTGTTGTGCCACCTGAATCTCTCATCAGAAGAAACATTTTCTTTTAGAATTTGAGATTAATTTGTACTCAAGAAAATATTTAACACTGTAATCACCTACTTGCTCTACAATGTAGGTAGATGATAGATACTTATCTCTGATTTGAAATGCAAATGCTATGCTTCTTTTGGAAATTCTACCAGAAGGGATTTAACTCATGATATTTGTAGAACATCAACTCTCTTTTATGTTTTCTTTTACATGGTGGTTTGGAGAGGAAATATTACAAACCAAAGAAATAGTTATTGAACATTTATCAAAATGCCAGTATGTGTTCTGGAGCAGTGGTGCTACTAGGAGAAATAAATGCAGTCTCTGCTCCCAAGGAGCTCACAATCTTAGGAAATTACTAGGGACATTGAAACCAAACCAGTACAATAAAGGATTTGAGAGCTGCATGCTTGATTCTGCTTAAGTTTTTGTCATACTGGTCTGAGTCAATCTATCATAGTCCTCCTATCAGCTGGAAAAGAGGACAGCATAACACAACAGAAAAAAAGAAATGATGAAGTAAAGATACTAAGAGGCAAGCCAATGCCTCCCATTTGACATCATAGTTCAATATTTCACAATCTTTCATAGAGTGGGTCCTGCCAGCCTGGCATCCAGGATAACTAGTTCATTCATTAGCATCTGTGACAGGGGCTGTGGCTCCCTAAATTCAGCAGGGATGGATGTCTGAGAGAAGAAAAGATCCTTTGGGGTGTGAATACCAGGGTCACATTCATGATTACCAACCTGGCTTTCTGGCGGGACTCATTCCCCAGATGCAGGAAGCGGGTGCTCAGGCTCCAAAATGGAGGGATGGCTGTTGATAGAAGACTGCAGAAAGGCTCTGCATCCACAAAGAAGGGTCTAGAGAAACAAGAACCGTGAACAGGGGTTTTCTACCCAGATAGGAATGTGCTGAGAAACGCCCAGCAGGAGCTGTGCACAGCCAGATAAGGGTCTGAGGAAACATCCTCAGAGGGGTGAGCTCTCACAGACGAGGGTCTTTGGAGAGATTTATGGAGGGGTGAGCTCTCACAGGTTAGGGTCTGAGGAGGGACCTATGAAGGGGTGAGCTCTCACAGGTTAGGGTCTGAAGAGACACCCACGGAGGGGTGAGCTCTCACAGGTTAGGGTCTGAGGAAACATCCTCGGAGGGGTGAGCTCTCACAGGTTAGGGTCTGAAGAGACACCCACGGAGGGGTGAGCTGCACAGGCAGGATCCAGGGGAGACAACCATGGACCGCTGTGCTCTCACAGTGTCTGAGGAGACTCTGTGGGCCCCTTCCCGCGTCCGTGACGCGCAGCTAAGAGATGGCGGGTCGCAACACTGAGGGAACCGGCCGGCCCCTTCCGCGCCACAGGACTCCGCCTGGGCTCTGCGGGAGGCGAGGCGTCCCCCCACTCCATTAAGTCTCTGACTGGAACCAGACCCGGGAGAGAATTCCCGCCAGGAACCCACCCGCAGGAGCCGCCCTCCAGCTCTCACCTTTCAAAGCGCCTCCGCCTCCGCGGCCGCCTCTGCTCCCGCCTCCGTCCCCGCCTCCGCCTCCGCCCAGCTTCCCGACAGTCCCGCCCACTTCCTGGGAGGGCCGGAAGTCCCGCCTCCGGGCGGACAGGGGCGGGCCCGGAGCGCGC